TAGTATATTTGAAATCTGGGATTGTGTTACCTCCATTTCTGTTCTTCTTTCTCAAGATCGCTTTGGCTATTCAGGGTCCTTTGTGGTTCTATGCAAATTTTAGTATTATGCAGTTCGAAAAATGCTGTTGGTATTTTGATGGGGATTGCATTGAATCTGCAGATTGCTTTGGGTAGTATGGACATTTTGACAATGTTAATTCATGAACATGTAATATTTTTCCATTTTTGTTGTCTTCATCTTCATAATTGTTTTATACTTTTTGAACTATAGGTTTTTCACCTCCTTGTTTAAATGAATGCTAGGTACTTTATTCTTTTAATTGCAGTTATAAATAGTTTTCCAGATTTCTCTTTCTGCTACCTTGTTACTAGTGTGCAGAAATGTAATTGATTTCTGTGTGTTAATTTTGTATCTTGCAACTTAACTGAATTTATTTATTACTTCTAAGTTTTCTGGTTGAGTCTTCAGAGTTTTCTATGTATTGTGTCATGTCAACTGCTAATAGTGACAGTTTAACTTATTTCTTACCAATTTGGATGCCTTTTATTTCATGTGTGCGTGTGTGTGTGTGTGTGTGTGTGTGTATGTGTAATAGTTATGGCTAGGACTTTTCGCATTATGTTTAATAAAAGTGGGAGTGGACATCCTTGTCTTGTTTCTGATCTTAGAGGAACTCTCAGCTTTTCAACATTAAGTATGATATTAGCTATGGGTTTGTCATATATGGCTTTTATTATATTGAGCTATGTTCCCTCTAAATTTACTTTGTTGAGAATTCTTATCATGATTGGATGTTATACTTTGTCAAATGCTTTTTCTGCATCTATGGAAATGATCATATGGCTTTTATCCTTTCTCTTGTTAGTGTGGTGTATCATGTTGATTGATTTGTGGATATTGAACCAACCTTGTATCCCTGGAATAAGTCCCACTTGATTATGATGAATTATTTTTTAATGTATTGCTGATATCTTATTGAGGATTTTTTGCATCTATGTTTATCAGGATGTTGCCTGGTAGTTTTCTTTTTTCTGTAGTATCTGTATCTGTAGCATCTTTATCTGTTTTGGTATGAGAGTTATGCTGGCTTCATAGAATGTATTTGAAGGTTTCCTCCCTCTTCTATCTTTTGGAATCATTTGAGAATAGGTATTGACTCTTCTTTGACTACTTGGTAGAATTCACCTGTGAAGCCATTTGGTCCTGGACTTTTGTTTGTTGTGATTAATGATTCAATTTCATTACTAGTTATCAATGTATTCAAATTTTCTATTTCATCCTGACTCAGCTTTGAAATATTATATGTTTCTAGGAATCTATCAGTTTTTTCAAGGTAGTCCAATTTGTTGACATATAATTTGTTTTAGTAGTCTCTTATTATCCTTTGTACTTCTGTGGTGTCAGTTGTTACTTTCCTCTTTCATTTCTGATTTTATTTATTTAGGTCTCCTCTCTACTTTTTTTTTTTTTATGACTCTGACCAAAAGCTTAGCAATTTTGTTTATTTTTTCAAAGGACCAGTAATTTTTTAAAAAGATTTACTTATTTATTTGAGAGAGAGAGAGAGAGAGAGTCAGAGGGAGAGGGAGAAGCAGATACCCTGCTGAGCAGGGAGACTGACAGGGGCTTGATCTCCTGTGTCATGAGATCACAACCTGAACCAAAAATGAGTCAGAGGCTTAACCAACTGAGCCAACCAGGTGCCGAATAAAGAACCAGTTTATAATGTTATTGTTCTTTTTCTGTTTTTTTTTTCAGTTTTTATTTCATTTATTTCTATTCTAATCATTATTATTTCCTTCCATCTACCAACCTTGGGGTTTGTGATATGCCTTCATTTCAATTTTTATGGTAAGTTCATAACACTTCAGAAACATTCACGTTTGCCTTTGTGTCTACAACTTCTATCCTGCTATGTATTCCTGCAGTTAGATAGTTTAATCTAAATAAGTAATGATAGACAAGTGAATGTAAAGAATAATTAATGGTATTTAAATTACATCAATTTGGTCACTCTATATAATTATGTGAAGTTTAATTGTGTTTAAAATTTTAAACCCAAAGAGTATGCAAACTGAGTGGTATAATATTTTTTTGTTCAGTAAGTGAAATTTTTAATTCACACAAAAATTTAAACATAAGCTTTAAAATGGACATCTGTTCTTTTAATGTTTTTTATTTGTTTTAAAACTAGAGAATGAATTAAGAAATAATTATTATTGCATAATTATTACTGGAAATAATTTGGTTATGTAAGGGAGAGGAGTGTTAGAGTGATCCCCTCTGTGTGTCAAATATGCTAGGCATGCTGCTGACTACAGGTTTTGCCCAGAGGTTATGGTCACTCTCCCTGTTGCCCATGCTCATTGTAACCCAAACATACTCTTTTGTGATCCTGTTCTCTTCTCTTTCCCTGCCATTCTCAACAAACCCATTAGTCAATGCAGTTCAATTCAAATCTTAAATCAATGTTCTTTCGGACATCTGCCTCCCAGTCTATCACTTTCTTGACTCGCTTAAAAAAGTTTTCACTCTTTTAATTAAATTATCTATGCTACTATATTCATCTGTGGATTGATTTTTCTCAAATTTATATCTCTGACTCTCACCTTTCCCTCAAACCCCAGACTTATATACTCAAATCCTATGCCACAGCTCGAAGCTGGATGTCTAATAGGCATATTAAATTGACTATGATCAAATACGATTTAATGTTCTTGCCATATCTATGCTGTCCCAAGGGGTCCCCATTTCAGCAAATGGCATCATTCTTCAACAAGTTATTTAGAATATAACCTCAATCTTTCATTACGCTCTTTTGCCTATATGTCATACCCAGTGCATCAGTAAAACTTAAGAGGCTCAACCTTCTCTACGTAATGAAAATTTACTCAGTTCTGACTACTATTTGGTACCCAGAACTGTGCAAAACCTTGCTGCTGGGTTTCCTTGCTTACCTGTTTTCCTCTGTCTCTTCCATAGCAGTGGCCTTAGTAAGCTTTATAAAACATAAATGATCTTATATAAATAAGCCATATCATCACTCCTTGAACAAAATGCTCCAATAATTTCCCATCAAATTTACAATAAAACCCAGAGCCCTTATGTTGGCTTACAAGTGCTGTAAACCTAACCTGGCCCCAGTTGTATTTTTGACCACTTTCATCACTTCTCTTTGCTTTACTTATTTTACTCTCTTTGGCCATACTGCCTTTGTTACTATTCCTTCAACACACCAACCATCTCCCTGCCTTGGGTTCTTTATATTTGCTTGCCCCTTAGCCTAAAACATTTGTCCCAGCTTTTTCTATGGTTTACCCCACACAACTACAGGTCATTGTTTACAAGTTATCTTTTTTGAGATGTCTTCTCTGAACACACTGCATTATATGCAACAATGCAGAAGTATATCCAATTGCCCTGACTTCATTTCTTTTTTTCAAGGCATTTTTCAATATGTGACATATTATATATTTATCTTCCACCTTAGAGTGTAGTCTCAAGGGGGCAAAAAATTCTCCACTGCTGAGTCACCAGAGCCATAATTTATATAGAGAAGATTTATAGTCATTGAATTAACAAATGGGACAGCTGTACCCAACTTTTATAGTAAATATAAGTCTGTGCTCTTTCCTGCTCTTTATTACTCTTTTGTCTCCTCAGCTCCTACCTGGGCATTAAGGAAACATCCTTGACTTTTTCTAGTGTCATGGAGCCCCATTCTCAAAGTTTCCTGAGAGAGATATGTTGAAGAAATAGCTGGTCCCTGGAGGCATCTTTAGGGAAAGAGGCAGTGAGGACCACCACAGCAGCAGCAGGGCTGGGTTTCCCCACCTGACTGCCTCCAACAATGGTGATCCAACAGCCATTCTCTGCTTCATCTTGCTTTCGAATCATGGGATTCAATTCTGGTGACCATGTGCCCCATCCTAGAGAATAAATCACCTATGAGCCCAAGGGTCTTATATAAGGGATTGTAGAAGTCTACTCAATTTCTTAGCCACACTAGAAAGGGAGATCATGTGACCCAGAATGGAACAATGAAATATAAGGGAAAATCTGCTCGAGTTTCTAGGGAGAAATCTTGCTTCGAAAATGAAAAGGCAAAGCCTCCAAAGAAAATGGCCTTACCCCAGTCCTTCCTTCCTTCCTGCTCAGGATCTTGGCTGAGGCTGTCATGATGCCTGCCACCTTGGGACTATCAAGAGAGTGATCAAGGATAAAAATCCAGTGAACTGAGGATTGTAGGAACAAAGGGGTAAAGTTCAGGCTGGTAATGACCCTATTGAACCTCCAACAAGAACCTTGCAATCAAAGGCTATGCTTATGGTTAATTAAACAATAAACTTCCCTGTTTATAAACCAGTGCTAATCAGATGTTCTGTTACTTTCTCACAGATGGGATTAGCCAGGGACAATAAAATGATGTTTACACAGGTGACAGTTAGGGCTCTGCTGAGACCCTAAAGTCACCTCTTCCTGATGAAGGAGCAAACAAAAGGCCTTTAACATGGGGATGTTAACAGAAGGCTTAGGTGCTGGCCTTTTGGGGTTGCCAAGAAGAAAGAAAAGGGAAGAACAGAAAGGAGGAAGAACAGAAAGTTCTGGCTGAGAACCAAAGCAAAAGCAGCTGTTGCTTATCATAGACACACTGAATTTATCACATTTGTGTGTCACACCCTAGCAGGCATTTCTTTGAAGATGTACTGGGGAGTGTGTTTTTATGTTGTTCTTGCTTGTGTGTTGAGGGGTTCCAGGTCAATACCATAGGATATATAAAACCACCTTTCCTGATCAGTCTTTATAGACCATTTCTGAACTTCTTGGTGAGTGAATTTGCTCTGCAGCTACCCTCTAATTCTTCAAGCCACTTGGGAGAGATCCAAGCTCTCCCATACTGATACTGATGTTCCTCTGTCTGTTCTCTCTTGAAACTCTCCATGTGCTTTTTTCTCTTCCTTCCCAACCATAGTGGAGCTCAGAGAATTCAGCATTCTATTTTTCCTCCCATCCCCAGGACACTGCCGTTCTACAGGATGAAGTCTACCTCTTGCGTTTTTCTCCTTCTCATCCTCGTCCAGCTGATGATCCCAGGGACTGCTCCGTGTTCCTTAGACTCCATTGTGGATACAAAGATAAAAGAAGTTCTCAACGGCTTGGGTAATTGACTGGGGGCAGGGAGTGGGATAGAACCCCTGATTATGCCTCCTATCCCTAAACCTAACTTATTTATTCCATCCTGAAATACTCAACTTCTATTAAGTCCATTCAAGCTTAATCTTCCTGCCCTGAGCTCTACTCCCATATCATTTTTGGACTCCTGGTTAAAACTGCAGGTTTCCCTGATGATAATAGCTTGATGATGTTGGTGATGAAGAGGAAGATAGTTATAACTTATGAATACTCATTATGAATGGAGTATAATGCAAACATTACATAGATTACTTAATTTTCACATTAGGAAGTAAGTACAACTGTTACTTTCATTTTACAAATGAGGAAACTAAACTTTAAAAGCTAGTGAGTAGCATAATTATGGACATAGATACCTCTGAGGTAAAAGGGGATTTGGAAGGGGATTATGGGAGATAGATATCATGGGCAATATCCCTTCTTCTCTTCTATTCAGAGATAAGTACTTCTCCAACAAAAAAGATGTCATGTGTCAGTATCACAAGCTCAGGCAGATTGTCCTCGTGCCCTGCAGGTAAATAACTCCATGAGGAGGAATGGTGGGTAAGATGCCCTATGCCCTCCCCTGACCATCCCTTTCCCCTGTCTCATGTTTGTATTATCCTGGGGCTGAGTCATAACTCTTGGTTCCCAGTGATCTCTTGTCCATTCTCATTTCCCTTAACAATGCTACCAAGGGCTCTTGAGTTTCTGCCTCTTCCCTTCCCACCTCCCTTTCATGACTTCACACACCAGCCTCCCTTCCCTCAGTTGTCCTGTTATGATCTGTCACCTATCATTTCCCCCTGTCATTCATCTCCCAATCTATTCTCTTGTTTGGGTGGGTAGAGCTAGCATAGAGGTAAATATATCATAAATCTAAGGGAAGAAATGCCCAGGCCCCTCACTTTCACAGGTCTCTTCCATGGCCCTTACCTAAATTTGTTTTAGTAATTTTTGTATTTTTTCCCCTTAAAGAGGGCTCTTAAAACTGAATTACTTTTCAGCCCTGCAAAACTTGTATCTATCATTGGGCTGCACAGAAATGAAAAATGGTAGGCGTATACCTCCCTCATCTCAAAACCCAAGCATTCTAATTTCTGTGTCTCATGTGCCCATGTAGGGATGGTTGTCACTGGCTGTGCCTGTGGCTATGGCTGTGGTTCCTGGGATATCCGGGGAGAAACCACATGCCACTGCCAGTGCAGCACGATAGACTGGACCACTGCTCGTTGCTGCCACCTGACCTGAGGTGGAGGAGGATGAGAACCCAGCTGTGTGACCATGACTGCAATGAAACCGTACGCCAAACAGGAAAACTGACTCAAACTTTCCCTTTCATTTGTTACAACCTGCTTCTTGGGTAGTAAAGACAATTTTTGCATCTCTCGTGGTTGTATTTTTGATGTTACTGTCCCAGCTTAGAATTGCTCTAGCCAGAAAATTTCTCCAGCATCCTAATTACTCCATTTCAGCAAGGATGAGGAAAAATATGGGGGAGAATGGGAAAAAGTGAGATTGATACTCCAGTCCCCTAGTTCCCTCAGTGTTTAACAAAAGGATGATGGCTGTGCCAGGCATTTTGCTTGGCACTTGAAGTGCAGAGAAAATAAATAACATGCATGCACTCATGGATCTCACTGAGTAGAACAGTGGGTTCCAGACTAATTGCAGGCAGACTTTCCAAGGTGGGGGCAGGTAACGACAGTTTTAAAAGAATAAATTTCTAGATTTCTGCTTTGTGTATATACTGTTCCTTAAACTTTGTGTCAGAGAACTATTTTGATCCAAGTGATGAATTTGCCATTGTCTTTCTCTCCCATAACAAAAGAAAAATACAGCCTTTACCTACCATAGAACCTTACCATGATTCATCAACTTAGGGTACAAATATCTGCAGGATGAAAAGGAATGATTCAAAATATTGGCATGAAGTTTGAGTGATCAGGTGACTGGGTAACAAGTCCTTTTATACGTTGTGAGACTTCCAGTGTTTGACACAATATTGAAGAAGGATATCATCTAGTTATCAATTGGTAGACCACCAAAAATATTTTTAATAATAAGTTGCAGTATGATTTTTAACAAATAACTCAAAAAGAATTCAAATGAAGTGAATGTTACTACAATAAAATTTTTCCCTCCCTGCAAACTTAATTATGAAGTTGTCATCTCAAAGCTTATGACTATGAAAAGGAAAAAAGAAAAATACACTTGGCTCTAAATCTCATCTCTCTCTAGGATTATTTGTTCATGGATATATAAACTACTCAAAGAAAAAAAAAAGCAGCTCCATCTCTCTCATTAAGAAATACATTTCCAAAATACACCTTTTGTGTTTATTACTTATTGAAATGAATTATAAATGTTTTGTTCAATTGTGTACTATTAGTTGGTGCAATAATAACTCAATACCCCATTATGACAAGTAGAGTGAGTCTCTTAAAATAAAAAAACAAAATCATGTCATACTTCTTTCCAAATTACACATTCTAGTGGTTTCTCATTACACAGAAAATAAAATCCCAATATTTATCATGGCCAACATGATCTGCATCTAGCCACTGGAAATATATCCGACCTCATTTCTGATCCTTCACCCTGACCACATCTGAATTCTTGGTGTTCCTATAAGCAATCGGCACCTCCCACCTCAGGGCCTTTCTAATTCACATCCTCCAGGTAGTTACACAGTTCACACACAAGGTCAATCATCTCTATTTCAGAGAAACCTTTCTGCCATGCTCTATCTCTTGTCCTTTTCTCCTCCCTCTCCTCCTCCTCCTCCTCCTCCCTCTCTTCCTCCTCTTTCTTCCTCTCCTCCTTCTCCTCCTCCTTCTTCTTCTTAATGCTTTTTAGTCTGGACTTTAAAATACATATTTATCTGACATTGTAATCAATGAAAGATGAAACTTTGTCTAATTTGCATATCATTGAATCCCCCGTGCTTAGAATGGCACCTGGCCCATGGAAGAGCTGCACTGAACAAATAAATTAGTCTACTATCAAGTCTGAGTCAGCTCCCTCTCATGCCTTCTATCCCACTTCCTATAGTTGGTGAGGGACAGGCATTGTTTTAATGGTCCCTGGCACCCACATTCAAGGTGACTGTGGAAGAAATAACTGTACGTCAGAGGGCACATCTTTTTTTTTAATATATTTTATTTGTTTATTTGATACAAAGAGAGAAATCACAAGTAGGCAGAGAGGCAGGCAGAGAGAGAGGGGGAAGCAGGCTCCCTGCTGAGCAGAGAGCACTCGATCCCAGGACCCTGAGATCATGACCTGAGCCGAAGGCAGAGGCTTTAACCCACTGAGCCACCCAGGCACCCCAGAGGGCACATCTCTTAAAGAAAAAGTCAGGTTGAAGATGGAAGCCAAAGAGGTTAGCAACAGCAGAAGCAGAAATTGGATACTGTAGCTCTGGCTGATATGGTTGCCCACTGAGTGGCCAATTTCCCCTTTTTCTGTGTGAACAGCATCCTGGTTTCACTCAGAATAGTAATATTCCCCATCCTGAGGGATAAATCACTGTTGAAGTCAATGGTGGAGCTCTGCTCCTCTTGGCCAAATATTCTCTTTCCGAGACAACTTTGCATGGGGTGGAGTTCAAACATGTGACCCAAATCAGGCCAAGAAGACAGAAGAGGACTCTGCTTGGGTCTTCTGAGAAAGAGTTTGCTTTCTGGATGAAGAGCAGAGACTCAAAACTGTCCATAACAATTTTGTTGCTTTGGGTTTGGGTTTGAGAATATGAGGTCTGGAGCTGTGACCATGGACTTAGTCAACTATCTTATGATATTTGAGGAAAAACTGTAAGGATGGTGAAGAAGGTGGGAAAGAATCTGAAGCTGCCAGAACATAGACTTTTTTAAAAGTCTAGAATCATCGAAAACTCATTTCTTCATAAGTGAAAAAAATCAGTGTTTGTATTCATTCATTTTTACAAGTATTTATTGAGTTCTGCTGTGTGACAGGCAGTGGGATACAGTCGTGACTGAAATGGGCAAAAATTACTACATTCATGAGCTTCCATTCTTTTTTCTTTTTTAAGATTTTTAAACATTTATTTATTTAGAGAGAGAGAGAGAGCAAGCATGTAAGCAGGGTAAGGAGCAGAGGGAGAGAGAATCTCAAACAGATTGTCTGCTCAGTGCAGAGCCCAATGTAGGGCCAGGTCTCACAACCTTGAGATCATGACCTGAGCCAAAATCAAGAGTCTGATGCTTAACTGATGGAGCCACCCAGGCACCCCAATGGACTTCTGTTCTAATTCTAGGCTTCCACCAGCTGGGATTTTTGTTACTGTCCCAAGGACAGAATTAGTCAAGAACAATGTAATAATAACCGGGCAGATAACAACCAGAGTCCTAAGACCACACATTTCTGCCTATTCCTGTTGAAAGAATAAATAAAAGGTCTGTAATGTGAGATGTCAGCAAAGACTTGGCAATTCTTGGCAAGCTAGCTGTAAGTCTGTGAGGCTGCCAAAAGAGAGGGCATGGGGGGAAGAGAAGGGGGAAAGACTTACCCAGCAGAGAACCAGAGCAAAGGCAGTTAGTCCTTTCAGCCTCTTTCTGAAGGCTGGACTCTCCCCAGCTGCCTGAGATCCCAAGTACTCTCTGTGTTTGTTGGTGGAGATGGGCAAATGCCCTTGACACATGCTGCCAGGGTGGAATCGTCCCTGCCCTCCCAGCTTTAGCAGACTTTTCCTAAACCTGGCTTTGTGAGTCTGAAGCAGAGCTATGTTCCCTCACATCTCTATCAGGAGTGCTGCAAAGGGATCCAGGCTCCCCAGTCCAGTTCTTCCCTACTGTCCTTTCCCATCTCTCCCCTCTGGACCCCAAAATTGTTTCATCTTCTCTCCACATTTTCCTCATGGCAGGACGCTGTCTTCCAACAAGATGAAATCGTCGTCTCACCTCCTCCTCATGACCGCTTCCACCTCATGAGCTCAGTGGATTCTTTGTGCTACTTACACTTCAGTATAGATGAAAAGGTAAGAGCGGTTCTTGGTGAGTTGACTGACTTACACTGGAAAGGGAAATGGAAGCAGGGGCAGTCATATCCCAGATTCTCAACCCTGCTATTAGACTCCACCCCATTTTCTAATCCATCTTCAGATGGCAACCTCTAACTAGAAGATTCATCCCCAAATTCCCTGCCTTCTCTGCCTTATGCATTCATAGAGTTGCTGGTGCCTCAGTGATGAACTCTACACCTAACATTGTCAAGCACTTACCATGTGTTAAGCACTGTTAGGCATTCTATTATTATTTTATTAACTACTCACTACAACTATGAGATAGGTGCTGTTATTTCCATTGTGCAGAAGAGAAAACTGAGACTTAGACAAGTTACATAATTTATCCAACAGCACACAGCACACAACTGTCTATTCAGTGGCTCAATCCTGGATACCTTGACTCTTTTGCAGAAGGGTGATATAGAATTTAGGGGAGGGGATTGGTCAGTGTAGGCCCTGTTTTAGCTCTTGATCTCTCCCAAAGAATGCAAGCCCTCAGCTCTGTTCTAGTAGTGTCACTAATGAAAATAACCTGTCCTCCTTCCTCAAATAAGCTATTATATGAAGATGGAGGTGTTTGCTCACCCCTTGTCCTTTCTCATGCACCTGGACTCAGGCTTTCAACCCCTTACTGTACCAACAGGTTTTTTCCAAACTCAGGATTGTAATGTCATTGGGTTAGGTCACAACTCCAATACCCATAATTTCCATCCTTCCCTCCCAAGGGACTAATTAGGGACCTACGGTTTCTTTCTACTCCCTTCCTTCTTCCTTAACCTTCCATACACCAACCTTTCCTCTCATCAATGCTCTGACATATCACCTCCTTCCTCTTCTGTGTCCTCCCTCTTCCCCTCCCAATCTAATCCTGTGCTGTTTCTGCTGCCTCTGAAGGGAGGATGCAAAGGATAATGGGGGAGGGCTTGCTCATGTGCCTGTGCCTGTGGCTCTTGGGATGTTCAAGGGGACACCATGTGCCCCTGCAGTACAGTCCTGTAGAGTGCATGGCCAGCTGCTACTTCCTCATCTAAGTGAAGGAGGTGAGATCTCATTCTGGGGATGATGAAGGCAATAAAACCATGACCCCAACCAGGAAACCTCTACCCCCTCTCCTTTAAACCATGACTTCTCAAGTACCCTCTGCCTGTGACATTCCTGCCTTACCAGTAGTAAAGATAGTCCTTTCACCTCTCTGCTTGTGTTTTTGGTGTTACTATACCCTACTGAGGTGCTAGGAGAGGGCAGAGAGCATAAAATTGGTGGTGGAAGAAAGACACTGTAGCTACCAACCACAGACTGTGACCAGCTACAGAGGCAGAGACATTAGAAGCTATGTTTGATGTTAGTTAATTGTTTCTCATCT